TATGGTTGCGAAGTTTTAGCCACCTCTCACTTCGCTCCGTTGTGCATACTCATCGTTCAGAGCTGGGCGAATATGAACAGGAGCCTAGTCATAAACGAATGCGTTATTCCCCCCCCGCACTGGAACTAGGCCTGCGGTCTAGTTCACAGCGTCCAGAGACATTAGAGAGTAGCCTCCGGGGGTGTCGCCCGTCTTCCGGGGCACCGCTGCAGTTGACAATATCAAATGTTGCGTTATTAGAACATTCTACACCATCTGAGTTTCAAGCAGGTAATCAATCACAACCTTCAGTAAAGGCTAGATCGTATGTTGGACGTCGACGCACGGGATCCGAATCGGCATCTATTATTCAGGACCTTCACGAAAATCACCCATCAGCAAAGCTTGAAGCAATCCCTTCCTCTTCCCCGGAAGTGGTAAGGAAGTCTCGTTCGAGCCGGCACTCGCCGGAACTTCGCATTCCACACACAGACGTCCTCCGTGACACAAATCCAGAAGCCGGCTTCCCTGAGCCTATGCCCGAGCAAGCGCCGTCAAGCACTGAATTGACGAGTATCTACCGCGGCCGTAGGCGACGCGCAGCCTCGGAAACCGCCTCTGTCGTAGATCTAACGGTGAAGCGAACACAACTAGAAACGGTTGAGCCGCCGCCACCCCCATTATCTACATTAGCGGAGTGCCTAGCAGAACCTTGTTCTTATCGTGGCCAACGGCGGCGAGTGAACGCGGTGACTAATTCCCAGCCAAACCGAGAATCCTCCATCCTTTCAAATCTGGTTGAGAAGAGCGGTTACGGGTTCCGTACTGAGTCTACTGTTCCGGAGGACTCTGTGCCACCACTACCTTCCTCCGGAGATGGGGATGGGTCTAGGTATCGTGGAAGACGTCGAGCGCAGATTCCGTAGTCGAAGGCTGATAGCAGTAGCGTCTTTTTTTTTCCCGCTTTCTTTTTGGTGTAGATTTTGTATGACATGATAATGCTTTCAGTTGGACTTGTTTTGTTCTGTTTCCCTTTCAATGTAAGATTCTTGAGCAAACATAATGGGGCTTAGAGAGAGAAAAGGCCGTGGGAAAACGGCGAGCCTTTATTGGCATCATAATTCTAGGCTATACGGAAAATCTGAATTTGACCTGCGCATCACAAGTATTTGATTTCTTATTATCATTCAATTCGTTAATAGGGCAGGATAAGCCATGCTATGATATTACTACAGTCTACGCTGCTCGAGTGTTATTTCCTTCCCACCACCCAATCCCGGCGGGCGTCATGGATCCTAGCGCCCAAACGCTTTAGCGCAGCATCAACTCGCAACAACCACAATAATCCTAACTTAATAGCAGCTACGAATCATCGCCCTATCACAGCGATGGATTACCACCAACCCAACAAGACAAATAGTGATCAAACAAAAAAAAAAACCAAACACACGAGAGCGAACCAAAACCGGCCTACCGAGCTGCGGAAAAAATAAATAAACTTTTCTTCTCCCAATCTCACTCGGGGTACCTGCACTGCAAATCCCCCTGGCCGAGAATTTGCACTGGGTTCGGGTAGAGAACACTTTTCCAATAACTGTTGGTCGGGATACGATGCGTTAGATTCTGCCCTGTCAGTGGTGGTATGGGGACGATAGCCTATCGAATGGCTGGTGGTACAAAGCACTTTTTTTTTTTTCCTTCCTGATTTTAGCGCTGAGAGGACAGTTGGGCTAGGTCGGGGGGATAGATGAAGCGAGTGAGTGGGTGTGATGACTGGGGTTTTATTGATGTGATGTGGAGGCCTATAATTTAGATATTGCAAAGTATCTATGTGGGGGCTAAGCGAGTGATGGGGGCAACTGCTTTAAGCGTTCTAAAGATATGCTTCGAAGCTTCGTGGAAGTCCCGTGGTGTCACTATCAAAAGTCCCCTACAGATGCTGTGGGTTGCGATGCGTAAATTACTCATAGTACTGTAGATCGAAGTTCGAGTTATGATAACAATAGTAACACCCTCAGCGGTAATTACTCTACAGAGATCTATTATCTATACCAGATTTTTTAGTACTCGAGTACTGCATTGTGATTGAATACGGTAGTATCCGTACGGGCTGCGAGAACTGAGCCCCCCCTCCCCACAACGCCATCGCGAAGAAGCGGGGGGAGAGAGAACCTCTAGAACCAATAATTGCATCCCGTCGCACGCAACCACTCAGCCGCACCCACATAACTTTTTTCCCATACCACACACATAAAAAAAACAATAAACTTAAAATAGACCAGAAGCTTCAAGGCCAATATGATGGCTTCATTTAATGAAAAAGCAAGTAGCGCGAATTTAATAAGAAGAGGGGAAGAAGGGAAAGAGCAAACGGTTTGCTCGTGTCTACCTGGGCGAGTAAAGGCATAACATACATAACACGCTAATTGATATTGGTGGCACTTTCGCTGGGTCTGACTTGGTTAGCTAAAATACGGTGTTAAGGTTAACTTATTGACATTTTGCATTGTCTTTTCCTCCTTTTTTCATTATTACGGTACTTTCCTTGAGCTTGGCTAAACTTTCCCAGCTTTGCCCTGGCTCACACTGCCCCTCCCCTGTCCAGTCCAGTCCAGTCCAGTCCAGTGCAGTTCTGTCTTGTCTTGCTTCCCCTTCCTCCCCCCTCCTTCCTTTCTCCTTCCCTTCCTCCGCTCTTATCGTGCGGCACTACCACTACCACTGCCACTACGACAGGCTACGATACGGGAAGATACGGTAGGCGGGTAGACAGAACGAACAATGCGACACCTCCACCACCTCCCCCTCCTCTTCCTCCCGGCAAACCTAGCATTGGCACAGATCCTGGTATTCAATGAAACGACGGGGCTACCGGCATGTGCATACGATTGCAACCCGCTATGGGCCGCACAATTCGCTTGTTCAGGCCGTACTAGCGATGATGCGGTGAGGTGCTTTTGTGTAGAGGTGGGGTGGGTGCAAGGTGGTAGTGGTGGCGGCGGTAGTGGTAATGGTAGTGGGTGGGGGAGTTGCGATTCTGCTTGTGGGGATCCGGGGGGTGGGAGGGTGAGGGTTAAGGAGTGGTTGGGGAGGGTTTGTGGTGTTGGTAGTGGTGATAATAGTCCTGGCAGTGGTGATAATAGCCGTGGCAGTGGTGAGGTAAGGAACGATTCAGGAGGAGGGGGGAACGGGAACTCAACAAGACCCCCTGGCGACAACGTAGCAAACATCACTGATCCCAGCGGGCCGGCGCAAGGTGCAGCGGACCAGGCCACGAAGGCTAGAGCTTGGTTTGTCACCTCCCCCCTTCCCCTCCAATATATTGACAATGCTAACAACCCGAAGGTGGAAGAAAAACTACCCCTTCTTCATCCTTGCCTTCCTGGTGGTGACGGTGCCAATCCTCCTCTATGCCTTCGCCGTCCCCATCCGAAAATGGGCGAAGCGGCAAATCGTCAAGAATCGTCCCCGCCGGCAGAGCAACATGGAGCAACTCGGCAGCGGCGGCTTTGTATTCCCGCGATCGGGGGGCGGGTCGGCGGTGTGGGCCATCGGCGCCCCCACTTCTGGGAGTTGCGGGAGCTTC